CATTTAACCAAGTAATTTGTAATTTAAACAATCCTAGAAATGAAACTGAGGGGCCTGTGTTGACTTTAACTAGTTAGCTTTGGTAAATAAACACCAGTGCTATTTCTTTTAAAAATAAACATTTAACAACTGGGGTATGATTTATGATTTTAAAGAAAACAACAAAGATATTGACTGTGTCAAGAACCCGCATAACTTACATCTGTCCACATTTTATTTTACCAGAAATCACTTCTCCTAGACAAGAAGAAATGTTAGAGGCTGCTTGATTACCAGTATTTGGTAGTATGAAAAATGGAACTCATCACCATTTGCTAGGGTTTTTTCTCCCCCCGAAAAAGGCAATATTGGTTTATTAAGCACTCACGTATGTCCTTTTCTCTCACAATTTTGGAGTTGTGATGCATAAAATAATACCTTGAAATTGTTGATTATAATACAGAAAACCAGAATTGAATTTGGTTTTATGAGATAAGTTTCAACTTTGAGGTACTGTAGTGCACTTCTGAAAATGAGCCTTGCAAGTGTTTTTCCACTAGAATATTTATGGATATAGTAATTCAGGCAGACATTCCCTAGAGTAGATTATGACAAGCCCATAGCTGAAAGATAAGAATAAAACATAAAGTTTCCAGTTGCAAGTAGAGAAAGACATTTTATATTTTATACACACACATACTTTTTTTTTTAAAAGAACCACTTTCTTTTTTAATATCATTGGCACTAAGTTAAAACAATCTACACATTTGGAAAACTGTCTTTATGACTATTTCTGATAGATCACATTCTTTCCTGTTTCTAGGTTAAAGTTAAATAACTCCCGAGACTTTAATTTTAGTTTCTCAAACAAGATAAAACCAGTTGAACTGCTTTTTATTATTTCCCGAGCCAGGAACTGAGGCCAACACTATTGAAGAGGTAACCACAAATTGACTTTTTGTGTTTTGTAGGTAAATATTAGCAAATAAATGGGAGTTGTTGATGTCCTTAAAAATAATTTCAGAAGAAATGAAAGAGTCTTCATATTACCATTAATCAAACTATTTCCCACTGCTTTTTCTGGGGAAGAATTTACAAATGTCAGTAAAACATCCACGCACACACACTTTTTTTATGGTGCTCGGGATCAAACCTGGGGTCTCAGGCTAAGCAAGTGCTTTATCATTGAACTATAGCTCCACCCCCAGTAAAGTCCTTCATATGTAGAAATTATGGTGTTTAAAAACATGCTAAAATGTCATTGCTGCTACTGACAGCTATCTCTGCAACAGGACTAACATTGTTAAAATACATTTTAAGAGTCTTGGCAGATAGTGTTCCTACGATCATCACATTTTAAAGACCTTTCTAAATCGTGAGTTACATGAAGTAAAGAACCAAAGAAAAAAATTAGGCGAGGTTGTTTCATTCAGCTGTGTCTTTTCCCTCTGGGGCCTATTAAGTACTATACAAACAAGGCTGCCTCTTGGTCTGGCTGATTTGGCCTTGGTACACACCTCTCAGGCAAGTGGAGCCAATCCTCCAGAACACTCTGTCTGGTCTTGAACAGCTTGTTATTCACATTTCAGGCCTCTTTTTTTCACACCTGTTTTTCATTTCATGATGTCATCAGAGCATCTGATACTGATCAACGGAAGGTAGGCTAGGATGCGTGTATTCAGACAAGGACATGCTGGGGCTATATGCAAGCTTTACAGAGTAGAATAGTGGTACAGGGTGTGTTTTACTGGCACAAGTTGTTTAACATCTGAGCAGAAAAAAAAATGTGTTCAGAAATGTCTCTTTACCTCCTTCTCAGGGTTACAGTGACTTTCCAGGCCAAGCATTGAACAAAGAAGAAAGGAACCCATTTTTAATAGCAATGGACAAATGCAGAAGCAACATGTGTTGGCATTTCATCATGTGGAGTCTTATTCAGGTCTTTTATCCTAACACAGAGGAGGATGATTCCAAGAAGCAAAAACGTGTTTACTTTGGCCTCATGAAATTCATGCTTGGGCAAATCTTAGGGGTATAGAATCTTCTGCACATTCATGCATAACACCCATTGCTGTTAATAGGAGATAACCAGATACATAGAAAAGAAAACATGCCCTTTAGAATTGAACTTGGACCTTAGGGATGAAAATATCTCCCTCACTAATAGCTGATGGGAATTATACAGTCTCGAATTTACTCCCTGCTGACCTGACATCATTGAATTTGGAGAAGCAAAGCCAGGTTCATCCAGGGGTAGCAGAGGAAAAAAAATGTTTTGAAAAAAAAAGGTGATTATAAATCTGTCTTTTAAATTAAGTCACAAAAGTCCCTGCCTAATTATATCATAAAAACAAGTTCTAGCTCAAAGTTCCAAGGCAAGAGAAGCTGCAACAGATTTGTTTACTACTTTTGACCAATCACTCTTGATTACTTTTTCTTAAAACCATAAATTTAACTCCTTTAATAAAAGCAGACTCATCTAATAAAATAAAATAATTTGGAGATTAATTTACATTTAATTTTCAGGGATTCATGGTTAGGGAAAACAGTAAAAATAATTTTGATCCACAGAAAAATACAAACTTTGACTCATACACGATCAATGATCTTCTTGACCCCCAAAGTGAACAAAGAACCAGCCAATCACTGAAGCAACATGGTATTGAGAAATTGCAGTGAGTAAATAACCAGGTATGATGGCACGTGCTTATAATCCTAGTGACTCAGAAGGCTGAGACAGGAGGATTGCGATTTATAGTCCAGCCTCAGCAATTTAACAAGGCCCTAAGCAACTTAGGGAGACCCTAAGTTGAAAAGTGAAAATAAAAAGGACTGGGGATATGGCTCAGTGATAAAGCACTCCTGAATTCAATCCCCAGTGCTTAAAAAAATTATTATGAGTGAAACATTATGGGAAGTGCTGAAGGGAGACAAAAAGCATAATTCTTTCATTTAAAGAAACATAGGGCTAAACCTGAATGTCAGTCCAAAGCCATATGGATAGTTTTCCATGCACTTTCTTGCTTTGACCTTGTCTCTCTCCTTTTAATAGGATTGTGAACGAAAGGGTAAGGAGGAGAAAAAGGCAAGGTCCCCAGTAGTCTGTTGATTGGTGTGTGTGTGAGAGAGAGAGAGAGAGGTGGGGGGGAGAGGGAGAGAGATGAACTCTGAGAATCAAACTATCTTAAAAAGACAAGTTTTAAAATAGATAAATCTGAGCTGTTCATCTCAACCTTTCCAAGTCTCTGTCTTTGCATCTGTGATATGGGAGCAATGATTCTACTTTACAGGATGGTTATTTTATTAAATAAGATAGCATGTCTAAAGTACTTAGCATGGGACTTGATAAATAGGAAGAGTTTAAATACACAGTAGTCTTCATTAACATTAATGATGGATAGTAGCTAATATCTATTTAATATCTAGTATGCCTTTCATGGAATATTCCTGACTATTGAATTTGCTAGTGTCTCAACTCTCCAGGCAAAGAGTATGAATTATAACTCTATGAGAAATTGGTTGATCTCTTCTGCGGTTTGTTCCAAGGACTAACTCAGCAAATGACCCAGACTGGCAGTGTGGGGTACAGGATGGGATGGAGTAGAGGGTGAAGAATCATGCCTGTTCAGAGAGAATTAAGGCCAGCAGCATGCCTTTGCCAAGTCAGAGCTACCGCAGACGTCCCTCAGCTTTGCACTCTATGGGACTGAGTATTTGTGCCAGGCTGGCCTTGTGGATAATCCCAAAGAGAGTTAAGCTAACTCCAGCATTGGGACTCTCAGGCACTTAGTTTTGTAATGAAGCTTTGTTTTGGAGCAAAGGACAGCACAATATCTAGCTCAGTCCAATCAATGACATAAGAGGAGATAAGTTCTGCTTAAAAGGAGGAAATCCAGAAATGAAATCACAAAATCTACGTTATGCAGGGTGCGTGCAGAAAGACACCTCTGTCTCCTGCCCATGTCAATTGAGGTGATAGAAGAATTAAGAATTAAGAGAATTAAGGGTGAGTTGTTGAGAAAAGGCTTGAGTCCTGGAATTGGGGAAGCTCAGGTGAAAGTGCCATCACAGTAAAAAGTTCAATTATGTTTGTGCATCTGGTGAAGATATGACTTGGGAAAATCATTTTAAGATGGAGAGTTAGCCTAGATATATGTGAACCAATCTGGGAAAATTTATATTGATGCAGATTTTTTTTAATTGTAATTTTAAAAAATACAAATTAAATAGAAAATCCTGCATTTCATATCTAAGGGGAAAGAAAAGGAAAGTCATGAGGACCTTGACCCCTAAGCTCTGAGTACATGTGCTAATGATAATTGACAAAGACATGTGTTTCACTCTGTAAAATTTACAAGTTGAACCCACATGTAGGTGTCTAAAGTTGGTGGCAGATGCAGGTATCCCAGACCAAGAGGAAGCTTGAAGGCCATCCAGTCTATCCTGCCACTAGTACCACCTAGTGGTCGCCAAGAAGATATGTAAGCATCTTTCTAAAAATTACTTCAAAAAATTGTAAAAGCCATGGATCAATACAATAAAACTCCTTGTTATACCAAGGGTGGTGGTGCATGCGTGTAATCCCAGTAACTCAGGAGGCTGAGGCAGTAGGATTGCAAGTTCCAGGCCAGTCTCAGTAATTTAGCAAGGCCCTAAGCAACCCTGTCTCCAAATTAAAAACAAAAAGGACTGGAAATGCAGCTCAGTGGCATAGCATCCTTGAGTTCAATCCCCAGTACCACAACACAAAACAAAACAGAAACCTCATTGTTAAAAACAATTGAAAAATGCATAAGAATTCAGAGCAAATTGTCAAGGGTTCTTCCTTATTAACAGTAACCCTGCCTTTCTGACGTAGTTCACCCAGTTTCAACCTTCCTCCCCTCTCTCTTTCTCTCTGCACTTAGCTTGTAAAAACATAAATGGACTCAAACTACATACTATGGGGTGATTTTCTGCACTTAACAGATACCTTTAAACCTATTTCCCAGCACAGGAAAACATGCTATTGAGCTCAGACACTAGGATTTGTCCACGAGTGTTAGGCCTGCTTTCATATTCTGAGCTGGAAGAGTTACATGGATGTTAATGCCTTCCCCTGGATGAGGTTCTCAGCTCTAACTGACCATTACTGAAGGGAAAGTGAGGAACAAGAGACAGGTAAGCAAAAAATGAAAGATGGAGACCAGGCAGAGATACACACAGTTTATTTGTCAGAGCTGACAAATAAAGGCTATCTCTCTGAAGGAGAGAGAGGTCCCAAGATGTTTAGGTGTGGAGCTTTTGTGGGGCAGGGGCTTGGAGTTGTAGCTGTGGCGCTGTGGGATAGGCTCCAGTGCTTGTGTTTAGGCAGGTGGGAATAGCATGGATTGGCTTAGGTTGATGGCACCCTGGGGCTTTCCAGAGCAAAGGGATGGTGTCCTGGGATTGGCTAGGGTTATGGTACCATGGGGTAGGTCACTAATGGAGGTGGGGGGAGCTTGGGTAAGGGGAAGTACAGGAAAGCGAAACTTTTAAGGTGGCTACTTATAAGGTGGCCACTTACAAGGTGGCGGTTGACATTTAAGATGGCTGCTCAGATGTTAAATCAAGACCCCACAATTACCACTTCCACTGCTGAATCCTTCCCAATCTTGGGCAGTTGTTCCTCCAGCCCTCTTCCCTGCACCCTAAGCTAGCAATCTGTGGTCTGTCTCCATGCCTCCTCCTTTTCTCCAGTATTCTCAGTGGGCTGACCCTCTCACAGGCCTCTCTGCGGTTGTCACCATTTAACCTCCCCACCCTTCACCACCACTTCAGAAGCCTTCGAACTCATCTCCCTGCCTCCACATAGCCACCAGGAAGATTGCTTTACAACCAGATATCACAGGGTCATTTTATGCTTAAAAGAGTTCCTCTAGCTTTTACTTTCTCTACAGCTAAAACTAAGTTGCTTAATATGTATACAAGGCTCTTCAGAGGCCTCAGCCCACACCTCTTTTCTCCCCCACAACTTCCTAGGCTCCAGCCCCATAGAATCCCTTCCTCCAGAACGAATCATACACCGTCCTATGCCAGCACCCCACAGGAACTTCTCTAGGCCTGAGATATGCACATTCTTGCTCATCCTCCTGATTAGATTCCACTAATTCCTCAAGATACAGCTCAAATATCATCTATGAAGCTGCCTCCTATTCCTAGCAGACTCCTCCTCTCTACTCTCATGTATTTTATATCCCCTTCTAAACCATATTTTATCATCAATATTTAGCCATAAGCAATTTGATTACATATCATCACACTTCCATTACCATCTTCTGCGCCCAGGGTACCTGGCAGGAGAATGCTTGTTGAATGAATCTGTGCACATTCTGAAGGACTTAGTGAATAAACCCTGTAGCAGTGATTTCCAAACTTTAATGTGTTAAGACTCACCTAAAGTGGCTCATTAAAACGCAGATGCTTTGGACCTACTACTCTCTGAGAGTTCACTTGATTTGACAGGTCTACAAAGGTGGAGCTCAGGGGAATGTACATTTTAACAAGCGTCCCAGATAATTCTGATGGCTGTGAGATGCCTTCCCTAGGAAGGCACAGCATGTAATTTGAAGAAAAAAAAAATGGTGAAGAACATTTGTTCCTGGAGATGGCACTCACTGAAGAATGTTCTTATGCCCTTAAGAGATCCCTTGAGGTAGTTGTTCTTGGCACTCCTGAGAATAAATAGATACCAGCCTAAGTTTGAAAAAACGACAGTGAATTCCGGGAAGATTATAAAGAAGCATCAAGCAAAGTACAGGGCTGGGCTGTTTCTTTTTTGGGACAATTGTCATCAATCCCCATATGCTTGTTTTGTTAGAATCGTCACTGTTTAGCCAAGCCCAAGCTGTTTTCATTAATATGTTGCATTTGTGTCAAACTTCTCTTTGGAGGTTCTCCAAGCATTTTAGCAGCTTTAAAGCCTGTCTTCCCTCATTCCCTGAGGGAGGAACAAGCACAAGTTCATGCCGCCAACTCGTTAGAGAGGCATTGCTCAAGAGCAGCTCCTGGGACACCAGATGCAGGCAAGAGCAAGAGTGGGCTAATTCCCAGCCCCCTCCCCTCTGCTCTGTCTCATTTTCCCCACCCACCATGCCAAATGCTCATATTGTCTTTAGCAGGTGGCTTCCACCCCTGCCTTCAAGTCTGCTCAATTTTCCTCCCAAGATAGATAAGCTCCAAAAAGATTCACAGGTTCTATGCAACGCAGAAAAGCATCCTGAATGCAAACTGGGCAGAACAAAACCTTGAACAATTAATCCAACAGGTTTTGCAGAAACCATGGGAAACATGGATTTGGTTCTGGATCAAAATATAAGAAATTTTAGGCAGCAGGTGTCCACTAGTCTCCTAGATGTCTGGGGGATCTAGACTTAGCTCCCTGGATCTACCTGGACTCACACGCAGGCTCCTCATTCTTATGATTAATCTCTGGGCAAGCCTCCTGTGAGTTCTTAATCTTGCATTTTCCAACAGACTCTGATTTCTTATATCTGTTCTCAGGCCAATGAGGTTAGCCCAGTTGAGTTAACCCAGTGTTGATCAAGGCACTACTCTGACTCTGCTTTTTCTAGGTTCTGCCTCCCGAATCATGGTCTCTACTTCCCAGCTCCATTACTCCAGATCCAATAAAGTACTACTTAAGAGCCAAAGCAAGATACATATATTCAAAGCAAACCAGCTAAGGGGAAGAGGAGGGAACCACACTGGCAGCTACACCTTGGTGTGTCTGTTCAGTAGTCTATCTGCTCCTCTAGGGATAATCATTCATGCTTTTAGGAGTTGGCCTGACTTGATGGCTTGAGCTTTTGCCTTGTGGGCCACTTAGTGCATTAGTGTTTTTATGTATGTTTCTTTGTTTAAATAAGCATACAGTAAAATTAACTCTCTCTCTCTCTCTCTCTCTCTCTCTCTCTCTCTCTGTGTGTGTGTGTGTGTGTACAACTCTTATGAGTTTTAACATACGTATAGGTTCATGCAATCTCCACCATTATCAGGGTGCAGAACACCTCCATCACTTTAAAAAACTCCCTTGTGGTGTCCCTTTGAGTGTATTCAAACATTGTTTTAAGGACTTAATCTCAAAAAAAAAAATCTCTTGGGAAAGGTTAAGCTCTATAGAAAAAGTTAAAAAAGAAAATAATTTTGACATTTCAAATTTTGCTTCAAACAAAGAGGGAGGATGTCACTAATGTCATTGTTACCTCTTGGGCCTTCACCTTCACAGGAATGGTCATCTCAGAGGATGGGAGATGTCAGCCTCTGGGGTTGTCAGAAGCCCAGAGTTCAGGAGGAGGAGGGTAAGTATGTTTGAATTGTACTGATTTAGGTTTCCATTCTGTCTCTTCTGCTCACACAAACTATGTGACCTCTGGCAGGCAGCTTAACTTCTCTGAGCTTCCCGTCCTCATTTTTGTAATGGCAATCATATATATTTTATAGGAGAGTTTGGAGGCTCTAATGAGGTAGTATATATAAAACCTCTGCACACAACAGGCCTTCAATGCTTGCTAATTTTGCCTCTTCTTTCTCAGTTTAACCCACCCCTTGACCTCCAAATAGAGCCACATCCAAACTAGCTCACTCTGAGTTTATCTTATTTTTAAGAATTTCAGAGAAAAAAGATGGGTTAATTCTTCTCCTAATGCATCCTATGACTTTTAACTGTACCTGACAGGAAATGATTTCTTATCACTAACTTAAAACAATTGCTTTTTCATTTGAGTCTAGTTCCACTGTAGGTTCCTCAGCAAAAAAGAAGAGCAACTGGTCTAGATCCTCCAGATATTGTAGACCATGCTATTGCAATGACTGAGCCCCAAGCGTTTTGATAATTTATCAGAAAAGAAAAAAGAAAGAGGGAAAGAGGTAGAGAGAAAGAGAAAGAAAGAGAGAAAGAAGGACTGATACAGCATAAAGGGATAGAGAAATGACAGAAGCAAAATGTCAACTGCAAAATCCAGGTGATCAGTATGTGTATGTTTCTTGTGCAGGTTTTTCAAATATATATATATATATATATATATATATATACACACACACACACACACACATATATATATATTTATTTCAGCATTTTTCACAATAATATGTTGGGAGAGAAGTTTATTGTTTCTTTTATGCTACAGGTCCAACAAAAATTAATAGGGTTCTACTCCCTGTCTTCTCACTCCAGGGCCCAGGATGATGGATCCTCTTGGAAGTGGCTGGTTACCACAGCAAAGGGAAAGAGAGCTCTGCTGAGCATTGCACAGATAGTCAGAGCCTGGAAGTGACACATGTCACTTTTGCTCACAACTCATTGGCAGGGCTACTGGCACATGAGCCTGCTGATGGCCACAGATGTACAGTCTTGTCATGTGCCCAGATCAGGGAGGGCTGGAAATATGTGGTCAGCAGCGCAGGTGGTTATTACCCATAAATAAACAACTTCAGACACTCCTTCAAAGAACTACAGACCTCGGCATCATCGTTATTCCAGCTACTAACATGAAAAGGCAAATTCATAGGAAGCAATATCATAAGAGAATTCAGAAGTGTTTTCTTCCTCATTTGCTTTCCTTCTTTAAAAGTCTCCTTTAAATGGAGCAGGAGAACTAAGCCACTAAAGGCTAATATATTCCAAATTCTCTCTGGCTGGTGTTTCAGTCAACTAGCCAGCCAGCCAGCCGGCCAGCCAGTCAGCCAGCTAGCTCTTTCTAGAATCTCATCACCTTTTTATTGAGTCAGCTCATTTTCACCGAGTCAGAAAGATGTGGAAGTCTTCCAAGGAACTTAAGAAAAACAGAAATTTAGATAGAGGGAGCCTGGGGAAGCTTTTCAAAAATGGGATAATAAAATAAAATATTTGAATAAGCAATATTTCAAAATTATTCTTGACTCATCATTTTAGAGGAGTCGGGAAAGACTTCATAGCGGAGGTGACATTTAAGCTGGCACTTTGCTAGGTAGAAAGTGGAGCTGGGCATTTCAAGCAGAGGGAACAGGTTGTGCAGTGGCAAGGAAACTGTTTGGGCTTGGGATATGTGAAGGAGAATAAGAAATTCACCGTGGCCAGAGGCTTGTGTGTATATCAGGATTACATAAAATACTAACATAGGACCAAAAATGTTGTATTTTTTATGTCAGCAAGCAGGGAATGAAATACCCTACTTTCCAAAGAAAACTTTTAAATTTATCTTTATTTAGTGGTCTAATGGCAGTCAAGCTGACTTCAAAGAGAAAAGACCATCTCTGAGTAACTTGCTATGTGGAATACAGTAGTGCCTCTTTATCCAAGATTTCACTCTCCATGGTTTTAGTCAGCTGGGTCAATGGTGGTCTGAAAATATTAAATGGAAAATTCCAGAAACAAACAATTCATAGGTTTTAAACTGAATGCCTCTGTGTGATGAAAGCCCTTTCATTATAGCACACCGTGCTATATATTTGCTCTATTTTATTATTGTTGTTGTTAAATTCTTACTGTGCCAAACTTATAAACTAAATTTTATAATGGGTATAGAGTTATGGAAAATGCATGGAAAATATAGCATTCAGGGAGGGATCTTAGAACATATCTTCTACAGATTAGAAGGGGACTGCTATACTACAGGTAGATGAGTTTCCAGAAATAGAATCTTTCTGGCTTTTAGGCAATAGTTAAGTCATATATATTTAAAAATATATCCACAGTAATTTTCTTTGTGAAAAGCAAGTACTCTACTTGGCTACAAACAAATTAAGGCAAAGCTCCCAGATTAAAAACAAATACTGGGATCTGTGGTTGTGGCTCAGTGGTAGAGCACTTGCCTTGCATGTGTGAAGCCCTGGATTTGATCCTCAGTACCACATTAAAAAAATAAACAAAACAAAGTTATATATATATATATATATATATATATATATATATATATATATATATATATTTTTGTATTTGTAAAAAACAAAAACAAACAAACACTGCAGGAGTGTGGGCATGTAATGAGGTAATTTTAGATAAAATGTGTTTTTCAAGAGGAAAGTGAGGGAAAGAAGAGAAACTTACATATTAGATGCGTCATTGAATCCTAACAGACTTTTTTCTCACCATTTTATCAATGAGAAAATCAAGAATCAAGTACAGAAGTCTCTTATAGAATTAGCTGCTTAAACTTGAGCCTCATATTCAACCTCTGAGACTTATTTTTTCTCTTCAAAATGAGGATATGACACATGTTGCTTACCTGCTTACCTCACAGGCTCAAGAGGATTGAAATAATAATAAATAGAAATTTTGGCACCATTCTTGACCTTTACCTAACTTAGATTCTCTGATTCTCTCCTGATGTTTGTATATTAGTCAAAACTGGATCTTTATAAAAGTGACTTAAAGAAACCTGTTTGTGGAAAAAGTCTTCTAAGGACATTTGTCCCTCGATGACCATAGAAGACTGGTTCCAGGATGCCCGAATCCACAGATGCTCAAGTCCCTCATGTAAAATGTTGTAGCATTTGCATCTAACCTGCCCACATCCTCTTGCATACTTTAAAAATGTTTCTGGGTTACTCATAATATCTATTGCAGTGTAAATATGGTGTAAATCGTTACCATACTTTAGAAAATAATGATGTGAAAGAGTCTACACATATTTAATACCAAGCAATTTTTTTCCAAATATGTTTGATCCATAGTTGATTGAATCCCCAGGTGCAAAACTTTATGATATGGGGAGCTAACTGTATATTTTTTTTTTTTTTTTTATTAATATTTATTTTTTAGTTTTCGGCGGGCACAACATCTTTGTTTGTATGTGGTGCTGAGGATCGAACCCGGGCCGCACACATGCCAGGCAAGCGCGCTACCGCTTGAGCCACATCCCCAGCCCCGAGCTAACTGTATATTACTTCAAATATTTTTAAAAAAATTTTTCTTAGTTATACATGGATACAATATCTTTATTTTGTTTATTTATTTTTATGTGGTGCTGAGGATCAAACCCAGTGCCTCACATGTACAAGCAAGCACTCTGCCAATGAGCCACACAACCCCAGCCTGCAAATCATTTATTTTTAAATAATTTAAAAAATGTAATCCCCATGTATATTTTCCCAGTGTGTGTGTGTGTGTGTGTGTGTGTGTACACATAGTGAGTCTAATCTCTGGCCATTAATATTAACTAAAGTCCATGCATAGAATATTCTAGGGAAATGAATTTTATTTCTTTAAATGCCTTCAGTTTTTCTCCAGGCATTTAAAATAATTTTGTCTGGAAATGTATCTCTCCCTTTTGAAAAATATTTTTAGTTGTAGATGGACACAATAGCTTTATTTTATTTACTTATTTTTATGTGGTGCTGAGGATTGAACCCAGTGCCTCATACAAGTAAGGCAAGCATACCACCACTGAGCTACAATCCCAGCCCTCCTCCCTTTTCTTAAAATGTACCAAATAATGTTACATACACAGCACTGTCCTAAAGGTTTTACATATATTGACTTATTTAATCTCCAAAACAACTCTACAAGATAAATATTATCATCTCTATATTGCAAATGAGAAAATAAGGCTCAGAGATATTAAGAGACTTGCCTAACATCACATAGCTAATAAGCATCTGGGCCAGGGTATGAGTGGAAGTTTTTGGGTCCAGAATCTGAACTTTTAAACACTGACCAGGCATGATATATTACTTAAGATAATGGACCATCTTCCTAAATAAATCAGAGCCCCAATTATATATATATATATATATATATATATATATATATATATATATATATATATATATATATATTTTTTTTTTTTTTTAATATCTACAGAAGCTAATGTAGTTTAGTAGAGGATTGTGTTCCTATAGTATAAGAAATGTCCCCATCTATTATATTTTGACTTTGGTTTACATATTAGATGCAACATTTTTTTGTCCTACTTCTATTAGAAAATTATTTTCCATATACTTACCTTTACCAATTACCTTCTTTCCTCTAATTATTCTGCTTTCAATTTCCAAAGAACCAGAGACCGAACACCCTACCTGTTAGAACTGTGTCTAAACTAGGAATCATGAGGCCTTGAGGGAAAACCTAAGTCTTTAGTGGATGGACTTTATGACATCTGTGACAGGGATCTTTAGTTTTGGGCATGTTTTCTGTTCTCAATGGTGACCAGATAGTTCAGATAGATGGCTAAGTGACTTCTCAACAAGCAAGGTGTCACAAAATATAAATTCAAGGGATTTCTCCAGTTCCACCTGTTCAGAAATGTTTTAGTCATCATCCTAATTAGAAGGGTGGCCTAGTTCCTCAAGCTTCTGAGTAGCCATCTGATGCTTGGAAGTAGAGAGACGTGGCTACAACTTGAATAAAAATAGCCCTTCCAGATGGCTGAGGGGCAAAGTTACAACTCAGCAGCTTGATATAGCTGAGCACTCATATTTTGGAGTGGGAGGAGAGCTGTGAGAGAAGTGGCCAGAGAAACTGGGCCTGAGTCCAATCCTAAGGAGAACAGTATATGCCAGGAGCGATCATTTAACGTGGCAGATTAGCCGTTAAGATTTCCTGTTACTTCATCTCCATCTCCTCCTCACCTCCCTTGATTCAGTCTTGCCTCAGATCTGAAGGGAAAACACATACACACATACCCTCCCTCCCACAGAGGAGTGGGAAGATAAGCCATGCAGGAGCAGGGGGTCATGAGTCCCACTAACACCCTGGGTGAGCCTGAGTATTTGCTTCACCTCTCTGTATTCCAGTTTGCTTGTCTCAGAATAATGGAGACTTCAAAAATCCTTTAAGATGTATGAGTTAGTGGATATTCAAAAAATGCTTAAAGCTTTAAATAACCTCTAATCCCAGTGGTTAGGGAGGCTGAAGCAGGAGGATCACCATTTCAAAGCCAGCTTCAGCAATTTAGCAAGGCCTTACGCAATTTAACAGAAGACTGTCTCAAAATAAAACATAAAAAAAGGATTGGGGATATGACTCAGTGGTTAAGAGCCCCTGGGTTCAATTCCTAGTACCAAAAAAAAAAAAAAAAAAAAAAAAGATATGCTTGAGCTTTGTAAAATTCTCTATTTATATATTTATATTTATTCTATATTCCACAGTTTCCCTAGCCCTGCCTTGACTCATTTCAAACCTGAAATGCAGCCTTTAGTATTTTAAAGCATGGAATATTGCAAATGTCATGATATTATTTTTACCTCTGAAAACAAATACTAAAGCTCTTGAGAGATGAGTCACTGGTTTAAAACCTTATTTCACAAATGAAAGTGTTTACAAATCAAATGCTTAAATACTGTAATAGACACAGTTCTCTCATTTTTCTACTTTCTAACTGCCCTGTATTTCTATTGAACATTCCGGAAGAAAACTGCAGCCTCTGTAAAACTTTATGTACTCTATTAAATCTCTCAAAGTCTGCTCAAAAAAAAAAAAAATGAATGTTGGTTTTAAAAATATGGCCATAAGGAATGGGTTAGTGCTTATCTTTGGCAGTTGTGATAGATGGTTATTTTTCAAAAACAAGCTAATCAAGAAATTCTTTTAACACTGCTCTCTTTTAACACCAATGCCAGGGCATGACTGTTCCCTGGTGGCAGTACAGACTCATTGCAAGCAAGCTTCTTAAAGGGGGAAAAGAATTTGATTGCCAGCCTCCCAAATTCAGTATTATAATAATCCAACTCTTCAAAACACTCCCACTTGTCTTGCACATTCTTACACAGAAGTTTTACAGGTATCAAAAACATCTCCTACCACCTTATGCAACACCATAAAATTTGTGCTGCCCAAGGGAATAGCACAATATTGTTGGAAAGCAGGATGTTACTTTTCAACAGGAAGTTTCTTTTCCTCTTCTGGAACTGTCTGAAGTGCAGGCTTTGTGCTAGGTACCCTAGTTTTTGCATACTGCTCCAGCACCATACCCTGTGGCTATGAACTGCATGGCTGACTAATGGAGAAGTGGTCCATAGGAGGAGGAATGGAGAGAGGAAAGGGTCAAGCATTTTTTGATTGTCTACCAAGTTCGTGGGCCTGTGCTTCCCTGTTAGAGCTGGAGCACTCCCATTGTACAGGTGTGCTAATTCTCCTCCAGGTACATCCCCCTTGCCCTGTAGCATACAGACCTAAGAACAGGCCCTGAAGGACAAGCCCTCCTGTTATATAGCTGTTATCCAAATTAAGAATGAAAATCAGCACATGATTTTTGATACCTTTATTAAGAAATATCAAAAGTTCATTACAGTTCCATACACAGTTTTACAAAGTTCAAGTGGGGAAATGTAGGATGCCATCAATGTGCACATTTGAACACTATGGTTGCTTGCCAGAGGGGTGACCCTACAACTCCAGTCACTGAGTTTCCCAGTGGTCCAAAGCAATGCTTTTCCCCAGTTTCCATTAGATCATAACACACTATCTTAAATTACCTGAAGGAATAACATTAGAAAGATGTCTTACATATTTGTCCTTCTGTTTTGTCATTCATTATCCCCTGAAAAAGCTGTTTCTAGGAAACACAACATCTGAGTCCCAGTTAGTGTTTTTTGTATTACATTTTCACAAAGGCTGCTTTGAAAGCTGGCAAACAACGTGTTTCACGTTACCACAGTACACACGGGAGGACCCAAGCACATTTAAAAAAACATTAACAATGAAAAAAAGAGGCAATTACTTATTTTGGAAACAAAATACCACTATCATTCAGTGGAACCCTTGAGTATAGGACATGCCTACCACTTCCACTGACCCCCACTGCATGACCGAGCACAACTGGATGCAGGAACACCAGCACACAATACAGGAAGGAGTATATTGGGGCGTGGTACATCATCTTTTA